CACAGCCCTCCCTCAGATGTTCATATTAAACCTGTCATAAAACTACTTTGCACAAAGGAGCCTCAGTCGGTTCAGCACAGCGGCAGACGCTTTTTTCCTCTTTTCCTGTCCACGTCTGGGGGGTCACACTTCCAAATGAATCTAAATTTACCCACAAAGAGCATCATTGAGCCCGAGACCTGGCTGAGGGTTTTCTGGTCAAACAGTTCAGTTTACCGCGACTAAAACCACAGCGGCAAACACAGATACGATTTACCGATTTCCTGCAATTAACAGCTTCTACAAATGAGTGTCTGGACTCTGTGACTATAATGAGTGTGTTAAACAAAGTCAACATTTTTGATTGATTGCCCGGCTAAAAGATCAGTAACTATGGAGACAAAACCCCCTTAAAGAAAGTAATAAATAAGTAAAATAATAAAGACATTTTGAGGCTTTTTTTTATTTATTTTTTTATATTTGAGACGTTCAGACACATAGTAAACTTTGCATCATTAGGGTTTGGAAATGTAACTATCAAACATTAACATTTCAGAATCAGAATCAGAATCATTTTTATTGCCACGTAAGTAACAGGAGGTCACAGACTTGGAAATTGCTTTGGCTCAGTGCAACAGTCAGCAACTTTTACAAGGACATGACACTGGTAGAGGGACCAGAATTGTTATCACAGCTAATATAAAATGAGTGCATAAACATCTAAATCCTTATCAGTATAGTTTTATGTATTCATAGTATTTCCATAAAAATGGAGGTACCCAAATATGATATATATAATATAATATTAAATATGTTCCTATTTGACTTAAAGTAGTGTTCACATAAAGCAGCTCTTTCTGAGGCGGAAACAGAGTCAAATTAGAAGAAAGGCATTAAGATTTGATTGTCATTTATTCAGGTTAAAATGTGTAGTTTGTGTGAATAATAATTACCAGGTTATCATCTCCCATCTTGAAGCTACTTATCTTGCTGGACTTCTTATTGTTATCTTAAAATGTGTAATTCTATAACGTTTAATCGGTTAGTAAAGCATTTGTTTTCTGTATGAATTGTGCTAGACATATTAACTTACAGAGGCAATAATGCAGAGGTCAGATTACAATGTAAATAGTGCATTCTAGTATCTAATGGAATGACAGTGATGGTGTGAATGCGTCGGGACACACACAGTCCATAGATACTACAGAAGCAGTGGTGGTTGTTGAAGTTGGCCTGAGTTGGAGTTTGTGGCGACAAATGAACATTTCTTCAGTGAGCTCTTTAAATCTGGTTGTAAAAATAAACTGTTGGATTTCCTATTGCCCTGTTTCCCCCTCAGCAGAGCAAGGGGAGTTTAAAAGGTCACACTCAAGATTGTATTTGGTGCAACTTTCCAAAAACTAGTACAAAGAACAGAAGGCCATGGAAGCACGTATAAGAGCAATAAATGTGATCCAGTATTTGAAGGCTCACGTGGACCAGCAACAATCCATCCAGTGACATCCAACACTTTGATATTAATTCCCCACTATGAGTAGAACTCTTCAGAACAGAGAATTTATAGGATCCCTTCTCTGTTAGCCTCACCTCACACCTATCAGAGTAGAGCCGCTGCTTCTCCACGTCGAGAAGCAGCGGCTCTACTCTGAGCTCCTCCCGTGTGACTGAGCTCCTCACCCTATCTCTAAGGGAGAACCCAGCCTCTGCGGAGGAAGCTAATTTCGGCCGCTTGTATCCGCTATCTCGTTCTTTCAGTCGTTACCCAAAGCTGCACCGATCCGCCTGTCAATCTCACGCTCCATCCTTCCCTCACTCGTGAACAAGACCCCGAGATACTTGAACTCCTCCACTTGAGGAAGGACCTCTCCACCCACCTGGAGAGGGCAAGGCACCTTTTTCCGGTCGAGCACCATGGCTTCAGATTTTGAGGTGCTGATTCTCATCCCAGCCGCTTCACAGTCGGCTGCAGACCGTCCCAGAGCATGTCACAGGTCCACGTTTGATATTTTCTATGTAAATGGCCTTATGGATTGCCCAATCAGAGGCCTTGATTCACAGGCAAAACTCTAGCTTAGTAACCATGTTAGCAGCACATTAGTTTGTATCTGTCATATTGTCGTATCCAATAACAAATGCCCATATAAGGATAATGGTTTGCATAGGTTTGTGTTCAGTATCTTCCTTTGGTGACGACATCAGTTGGTCCAATCCGTCTACAGTCCATACTTTCTGTGCACTTTTACCTACATTGTATGTAAAAGTTACAACACCTACATGTGTTCCCTTTAATCACTGTAAAAAGTTCATTTCTTTTGAAAATGTTCAGTGACTTTGTGAGGATTACTGCATTTACTTCTGAAGTGACCCGAGTCCACATGACCAATGAGTGTGTGAACGCGCTGCCAATACAAACTAATTCAACTGTGTTAGCCAACATGACCAGCACATTTCTGTTTGTCAGCAAAGTTAATCACTCCATATATGGAGCAGTAACTGAATCTTCACTGCTCAAATACATAAAACAAAATGACCTCTTATGTCCATAACTTGTTTAAGTTATGGACCTAAGGACAGAGTGATCAGTGAAGCAACACAAACACATCTTGGTCAATAAATGCCAGTGTGATCACACAGTACATTTAAATGTTGGAGTTCCGGTCCACGCTGCCCCCTGCGGACCAGGACTTGCTAATGCCTTTTCCAGATTTTCTTCCCAACTGCCTCTGAGGTCCATTCATAGGGTTTTTTTTAAGCCCACCTCAAGTTCACTCGAGGGTTTCTGAAAAACCCATTACAACATGCACCAATGCAATTCTTAAATATGTGCTATTACCACTTTCACATTATAGAAACACACATGATTAAGTAATGTGTGAAGTGAAGCATTGTTGTCCACAATTCACAATAATTCACTTCTTCCAAACATACAGTAATGTGAAGTTGTCACTTTGTGGAAAGGAGGAGGAGTCAAAATTCAGGAATACAGGAAAAAAAGATTAAATAATGAAAATTAAATAAAATTCCAAGGTTAAAACAAACTCAGAATCCGTAGGAACATTGACAATACAATGGACCAGGAACAAGGGGAGAGGAGCACAGGTACATACAGTATAGACACAGGTGAAGAGAGGCAGACAAACAACAGGGGAACAGGAAGTAAATCTAAAAGGAAACCAGAGGGAACTAATGTTAAAATAAAAACAAATACAGAAATAAAAATCCACACCATCATGTTTTGAGTTAATGCACATTTAATTTGAAGAAATCTGACTTCATTCTGTTTCTGAACCAACATAAACTTGACAATCAACCCTTAAACTTTGGATAAATCATGTTTGTTTGAAGAGAGAACGTCATTGGTTGCCTGTTCTGATGGAAAACACAGTGTTGTTGACTGATGTATCTTGCAGCCCGCGCTGTTGCTCCATCAGAAGGTAAACAGATTGACTTGTAAAGCTGTCAGGCCACAAAATGTATTATATGTTGAATAAGCCACGTTAAAGTAGGCGAGCAGACTATTCTAACTGTCCATTACTGTAAGAACTGGAGATCTTCCGCCACCTCATTCCAAAACTGTGGCTTTGACAAAACAATATGAAAAAGAACATATGACATGAATGGAATCTAAACTCTAAGTGTAGGTTATACACAAAAAGTACATTACATCGGACAAGATTAAGATGAAGTGGGGACATTTCAGACAGAGGACAACATGTCACTTGTTTTATTTATCTTTAAGGTTTATCCTCCATTTTTGTTTTATTTTATTAATCTGAAAGAGCGGAAAAATATGCATTACTATTTAATAAAATAGCTTAAGGGTGGTATTCTATTTTTTTATTCTACTTTTCTAAAGAGTTAGCCCTGTCACATATTGAGGTGTCATTACAGAGCCATGGTTCCCATTGTCTAAAAAAACATTATTACACAAATCTTATACACAGCCACAATTTGGCCTTTAAACATGGTATTGAGCTAAATGATGAACAGTAGATTTTTAAAACGGTGGTTGAAAAGCTCTGATGGAGGACGGAGTGTGAGAAAACGGCATCAGTCAAACAGGTGAACACACAAATGGACTGATAAAGTAATGTACAAACACTTCAAGTAGATAAGTAATCCGGGATGCAGAGTAAACAAGTACACGGGCCCCCTTTCAAATACCACTTCCACCGACATCTACACAGCATCAGTATGGAAGCTCTGCAGAGTTTGAAGAAAGCAAGTCCTTATTAGCGACAATACATGGATAATAATAGAAACATTATGACGCCAGGTAAGTGTACTTTAGTAAATGTTTTTGTAATGGGTTTTTGCGTAGTGAATATTGCTTTTGTGTAGGCGATAATTGTGTAGATGTTTAAAATCAAAAGTAAACGGTAAATCAAAAGAAAAAAATAGATACATCCTCAGCTTTTTCAAACTTAAAAGTGGAAGATTGAGGACCACCCACACCAAATAGTGACTCTAAGGACAATTTCTTACAAGTATGCAAAAGATACATTGGTTATAAGATGAATATATCCTGTGTGTATCACAAATATTGCAGTATAATAATGAAGGCAAAGCAATACTATATTTAACAAACCAGTGGGTGCCCTCGCTCACCACCAAATAACAAAAAAATATACCAGTTTTCAGAAGTATTTAACACTGAAAAATGAAAACAGCATCAACAGGAGGAAATAGCTTTGGATTTAAAAAGCTGTTTTCAGGGAATAATTACCCCACATTTTCAGAAAAAATATTCAGAATTAGACACGACTAACAAACGTCTGCTTCGTCCAGCCTCTTTTTGCAAACTGTTAATTTAGTGTCTTATTTTTTTATATTTTGCATTTTGTGTATATTGTTTTCTTTTGCATAGTGTTTGAAATATACAAGTTTCAATCTGGATTCTGTGCCTAAAGAAGCTAAATGTAAGTTTACCTGAACATGTTGCATGCATTTTGTTGCCATAGGTTGTTTCTAGTGAAAAAAATGGCAGAATTTTGAAGCCACATAGTCAACAAAGACAAACCATGGAGGATTTGGAACTAATGGATGAAGGTAGACAAGGTGAGTGGAAAGTTTGTAACATGAACTTAAATAATGAAATATACAACTGCATTTTTACTTCTTAATGGTCATCAGCATTTAAAACCAATCCATGTGATGAGAAAGGTGCTACATACATGTACACCTTCTCTTCAGATACAATCTTATTTTGTCTTATATCTAAAGTTGCCAAGATCAAAATATATCAATCAAAAGTCACTTAAAGTGATAGTCTGTAACTCTAAATGAATTACAAATATTAGGAAATGTGTTAAACTGACCTCCTGGCCTTAAATGTTAATAAAATTAATAAAATAAGTCATTTTATTAATTCTAATATTACGGGCAAGTCCCGCCTTCCCTGCTCTTAGCTATAGTTCAGAATCCACAATGGCGTCCACGTTAACCAATCGAGTCATGCCAAGGGCTGTCAATCATCGGCGCTGATGCTCGCAGCTGCTCACGCTCAGTTGTTTGTTTTCGCGGACCCTCTGAATCAAGCCTCTATTAGGCTCTGGAACTACAAGAAAACTGAACAAAGAATTCTGAACATCCGCGCTGAGGTACTTATGTATATACTGTATCCATAATCATTTATATACTGAACCTATATCCATAACCATTTATATACTGAACCTATATCCATAATAATTTATATACTGAACCTATATCCATAATCATTTATATGCAGAACCTATATCCATAATCATTTATATACTGAACCTATATCCATAATCATTTATATACTGAACCTATATCCATAATAATTTATATACTGAACCTATATCCATAATCATTTATATACTGAACCTATATCCATAATCATTTATATGCAGAACCTATATCCATAATCATTTATATACTGAACCTATATCCATAATCATTTATATACTGAACCTATATCCATAATAATTTATATACTGAACCTATATCCATAATCATTTATATACTGAACCTATATCCATAATAATTTATATACTGAACCTATATCCATAATCATTTATATACTGAACCTATATCCATAATCATTTATATACTGAACCTATATCCATAATCCGATCCTCTGCAGATGTGTCCTATAATGTGCAATTCATGATAATAGCTTGTTCTGGGTTTGCCGCAATCGCTTTTTTTGTGCATTAATTAATTTATTTTTTTCATTAAAACGTTAACAAATAATTCTGAAAACCTCCGTGCATGTCTATTAATAATGTATATGTATAATGTGTTCTCTCATTAACATTTAAATGTGTAACGGAGACGTAGGTGTCGACCAATCAGAAAGGAAGGGGGAGGAGCTTGCGTCGTTTTTTTCAAATCAAGCACCTCTCTCTCTCTTTCTGACAAACTCCAGACAATCACTTTAAAAAGCAACAGAAAACTGAAATTAATACAAAAATCCTAACCATGTAATAAAGTATGATTTAAGTCACCTCACACTGTGAATTTTGACAACAGAGCCACATCATTCACCTCCACAAGTTAAAATATGTTAAAGTTAAAAATGCTAATAAGAGACTTAGACCCCATTATTATACAGTATTTGTTGTATGGAAAACTGCCTACATTCATAATAAAAGTTGTGCATTGATTATTGTCTGCTCCTGTCACTTCAAAGTCAAATAATGTTACAGTGTGGCCCATTTTTTCCTTCTTTTTGAGCTACTTTGATAAGTACCGATCCATTTCCCTACAGAATAAACTCGGAAAAAACCATGATTTATCTAGCCTGGCCTTAGCCATCCGTACACTCCGCTCAATTATCATTTCTCTGCATGTAACGTCTGGGTCTGGTCCCTGTGTTAGCGATTACAATCAGTCAAATTACATCCGACCAATCAGCGAGCGCGGGAGGCGGGTGTTGTAGTTAGTTGTGGGTGTGACGTCAAGAGTTTGCGTCGAACGGGCAGTGGCGGAAAAGGCGATAGTAAAGTAATCCGGTCTGGTTCTATCAAGAAATTGAAGCCGGAGCAAGAGGAATGTTTAGAAAATGTAATCACTGGAAAAAATTGTGGCTCTACTCCCCACGGGCTCCGTTATCGGCTTTGTACGAAATGTAATTTGTACAATGGTGTGGTACGACCAGGCTATGATTGAGGTGAATAGTTGAGAATGAACGGTAAAATTATTCTATAACAACTACGTTTTGGGGTCGACATGGTTCTTTGGCCCCCCCCCCCCCCCCCCCCCCGCGGTCCTTTCCAGCTTCCTCCACTTTTTTAGAATCACTTATATTGTTTTAGATATGTTGAAAAGCCATGGATAGTAGCGCTCATGTACCAGCGTTTAAACACAATGGCAATTGTACTGGAAAAAAAGAAGTTAAATGGAACAAAATAATATAATTTGAAGGTGAAAATGATTGTGATAGCTTTGTCTGCCACCATCGGACTCACCAAATGAAACATGAAATTAGGTTTAACATGTTGCTAAGACACTTCTCCCATCCTGAAAGGCGCTATACCCGTTTCTGCAATGTTTGAATGTTTAGCACCGCCCCCCAACTCGCTCAATGGCTTCTCATTTCTCATAACACAGAGCCACCTAGTTTTATTTGCGATCTGATACATATGCTAACATTAGCATTAGCGCAACTTCTTGTAAGCTGTACAACAATCACTGATGAAATGGCACTAAAGCAACGCACTGCTAACACAATATATAAGTAAAAGAATACCGCTAGTTTCGCGTCCGAATGTATTGATTTAAAACCTTAGAATATATTCTAATATTTAATTATAATTTGTTATAGAGCTCCTCAAAGCAGCAGCAGCAATTCTTCCGATCATTTTTCTTGATAACAGAACTCTCAAACCAATAATGACCGAAGCCCCAATGCAACCTGTTTGTAATTCAGGTGTGTAAAATACTGCCATTACTCTGCAAGTACAACAAGCTATCAGCACCTGTCACTACACACTTGTCTGTGAATGTGGTGTGTGTGTAATTGATTTGGTTTTAGTTGAAAAATCTGTAAGAATGTAAAGAAGGAATGTATTGTAAAAGGAAAAAGTATTAGTACAGTAGTGATGGGAACTTTCTGCTTTTCTTCTCAAAAGCTGTTCAAGCTGAAAACATCAAATAAATCTAGTGCTCAAATCCGTTTGGGAACACTTTATGTACCAAAGCTGTTGGATTTATTCAGATTACTGTCATGGATCAACTCGGCTTGACTTTCATTCATGATCCGGTGTTGAAGATAAATCTAAAAACCTTTGGAAAAAAAAACTTTTTCAAACTCACATAATTATTACAACTAAGAAATGTACTGTGTAAAAGCTGTCGTTTGGAGCGTGGTTCCAAACTATCGCATATGCCGTGAAGTTATGTGTGTGTATTTTGCAACTTCCTGTTTCTCTAAAATGTCACAGATACACACAGGACCATTCCAAACCCTTCCAATATAAAACCTACATACATTATTCTGCAGTACTTTGTTTGACAATTGAGTGGTGTATTTTAATTATTATTTTTTTCTATCGCCTTGAGAGCCATGGATCGGGGGTTGTTATGACTGACAGCTGCAGCCCACACTGGGATGAAGACAAGCCCTGGTTGTTAGTGAACCGTAAAGAGGTCCAGATGTGGCCTGCTACTGTTAGCACGTCTGACTGCGACCTGTTGCTCTGCTCCCACTGCTACTTCTTTACTACTGTTTCTTTTGAATGATACAGTTCCAGACAAGAGCACAATTTCACTTTCAAGATTACAATAGTCAGACAGAAAATTTTAATAATGTTCAAAGTGTTTCAAAAAATCCTAAAGTTGATGCTGGTTTTTGTTGTTCAGACATTATATATAATATTTTCAATGTCCAAAACTGGCGTGATGATTTGTTAAAGAACACTTTTTCCATTGACAAACCATGATTCTTTGGTGATAAGTTGATGTTTGGGGTGATTCAAATCATTTCCCCCAACATAGATTTAGAACTTGCAACAAATGTTTCTACTGTCCTTATAGAATTGCATTTGGCGGAATAATTTTACCTCATGATATCGAGCATATTTGGTGTTAGGTTTCGTTTTTGTATTGAGCTTGGAACAGAAATGTATTGTCAATAATCAAAAGTGTACTTAAAGCTATAATGGACATTAAATCTGGAATCTCCTTCACTGAACTTGTGAAAGAGGTGTGTTGCACTTGGTGAGGCAAATGGTGGCACCAGATAGTTTTATGTCTTTAGAATACAAACATGAAAACAACAGCACTGCATCTATGTATTATTCAGAAGATGATTCCTTTATGATGAGCTTTTCCACATCCTTTTGACTTCTTTCTATCAGTCTTGTACCTGTGTTAGTGCTGCGTTGGTCATGTGTGTTTGTGGATCAATGGAGCTTTTGAACGTCACCTCCAGCCAGCCAGTGTGCACCCACAAATACCAGCCACAGTCCCAGGCTGTGTCCAGTCAAACTTACTTTGTTCTTTTTAGACTTAAAGAAGGCTGAAGCATTTTAGAAACTAGAATTTAGACTTATTATACTTTTAAAAAATGCAGACCATTTACTGCAATAACAATGGCTTTCTTGTTTGTGACATTAATTCAAGTATACGCTAAAAATAAATCCTTTCTATCAAGGAAAATATAAAGATAACTTAGCAACAAATCATTCCAAAATATACTTACAGCTTTTTGCACTAATTGGCAAAATGTGACTCATAACACATATTTGCAAGAAGCCAATGCAATATGTTATCTACAGTTCAGAAGCATCAAGAACAAGGCAATTATACCTGATTCTAGAAACATCATAAAGGATATTATTAGTGTTAGATCCAATGTAAAGGAAAAGATAGCGCAAAGTATTCTTGCCAGAAAACATAAGTAATAATTGTGTTGTATTACTTCTAAAAAGAAAAAACATCATGCAAATCTTTGAAAAAATAAATAAAATATCCCAATCAAATATATGCATAACACAAACCGGAGGCTTCATTTCTCCAAGTAGCAAAAAAAACAATTGTTACTGCACAAAGTGTTACATTTGAAAATAAAAATAGGCTAAAAACAACTTCATAGTGTAATAATGTTGTCTAGACTTGTCATCCATCCTCTCGTCTGCAGCCCTTGTGGAGCTCTACCCCCCTCCCCTGACCTCCCTCACTCACCTGGACTCGCTGCTGACCGGACAGGACTCTCGGAGCACCAGCGACTGGCAACACAGGTAAAAGCAATAACCAGCTGTGAAGAGGATGGAGATAGAGAGATGTGGACTTGTCTCAGGAAAGTCCCAGGTTTAGAGTCTGGAGGAGCGGAGCACGGGGGAATGTCGAGCAGAGCACTGGTCGTTTAAAGGGAGGTGAGTAGGTATTAGAGGGGCAGAGGGAGAGGGTATTTGGGGAGCCACTGATCCCGCCCCCCCTGCCTTTGAAATATGAACAACTCAGAGAAAGGCTCTGCTACTGCAGGACAACGTGAAGTGTGTGTGGTGTGTGTGTGTGAGAGAGTGTGTGTGGTTTGTAATGTGAGGAATGCTGTGAATGGAAGCCGCAGTAGTGGTAGTTATATACTGTATGTGTCCTGGTGGTGGTGAGAGGGACCAAAAGCATGGACTGGCAGCCTCACTTCCGTTAGTCTGCCCCAGGATAGATGTGGCCCTGTAGTGAAGGATTCATGCAGTCTTAATAGGGCTGTAATGGTACGTTTTTAGCATGATGTGATACCTTTTTTTAGTAGTAGTAGTAGTAGTTTATTTTCTTTGGCCAATATGTGCACCAGATCTCAGGTCACACGGTTACAGAGATCACATATACTTTTTACAACAAGAAAAAAAAGAACTTTTGATTCAAAGTACTAAAACTTATTAGAACAATACCGCTGTACTTGCCTGGCCTAAGCCATCCATAAACTCCGGTCAGTACAGTATGTCTGGCTCTGAGCCTAGTGGCTGCAGTTACATCGGTTGAATCCCATCCAACCAGTCAGCGTGCGGGGTAGGAGGGTGTTGTGGGCAGTTGTCGGAGACGTTTTAGAAATTGCGCCGAGTTTGTTGGTTGTAATTTGGCAATGGCAGCGAATGCGATAATAAAGTAATCCATCCAAATGTCATTTCTGGTAAAGATGTTGTGGCTCTGCTGCCCACGGGCTCCGTTAGTGGTAATGGAGATGGCTAAAGCTAGGCTAAATGATTAATGCTCGCAACTCCGGTGCATTAGATACGTCACATCTGGCCGACAGGTACAACCAGTTAATGGGTACACACGCTCGTGTCAAAGACAAAACAAAATTATGGAAGTGGATTGATATACAACAAAAAACGTTGCATCTCGGCACCTTGCAACAAGCTGCTCTGTGATTGACACTAATTTTACTCATTCCGTCTGATTCACATCAGTGCTCGTTTATGTCTCGTCTTTTATGTGTAGACAATAACAAACAAGTCATTTTCATTTAGTTTTTGTCTTGTGACATTTTTGAAGTTTGTTTTAGTTTTGTTAACAAACACTGAACACAGATGAACTGTCTTTTGTTATCAAGTAAAGATTACAGAGAGAAGCTGTGTGTGTTGTCACACATAGACTGTATATATTAAGGGACAGAGTCACGCCTATCTCCGCAGTTCTAACTAATGGGCCAAAAAAATTTGCTTTACTGGAGCTATCCAAAATGGCCGTGAGTGGTCCCGCCCACAAGAAAATTGTGAAAAAATGCATCTGCGCATGCATCAGCCGGCGCAACTCCATTCATTTGAACGAGAGACTTCAAAAATTCACAGCGAGTAAACCAGAGTGGCCCAAAAAAATTCACCCCCCTCAGCATTGACACACATGTGGAACGGAGCTTTGGGCCAAGAGCCAACTTTTGGACCATCCTGTAAAGACGTTTTCCAGAGGTAAGATGATGCTATATGTTAGCATTGGCTAATTCTTTTTACGGGTCCACCCCCATAGGCCCGGGGTGGTATTGCAAGCATGTCAGCGCACGTCATTTTGGCCACTTTTGAGCCGGGACCCTCCCCCACTGGTTGTCACCAGACCGTACATAAGTGTACAGTCATAAATTATCCCGTTTAGATTTAGTTGAGGATGTTCTGACCTTAAGTTCACCGTATTTCAGGAGTGCTGTCAGACACAGATGACACTGTGTGCACAAAACATTCCTATTCTGCTCTGAGAGGAGAGCTTGTCTTTTCAACAGCTGTAATATAGAGAATAGAGCTCCACCTTTTACTTCTGCACACTATCTCTATCTATATCAGGATAAATACCAAATGAAGCCTGTGTTATGATACACAGTATACCTTCTTGGAAATACCCATTCCAAATAACCACTAAATATAAATGTTTATGATCATTGTGCATTATATCTACTGCATAGGCCTCTAAACAAAAGACTCTGATGTTCTTGGAGCTGCCTCCATGTGGAGCGTGCACGTCTCTATAACACATTTAAATCCAGCCAGGAATTTACACATGTTGTTATTTTTTGTAATTGATCACAGTGATCACAAATGAAACCATTTCACTGGTTTTCATGTCCGTAAAAATAAAACAAATTAGAGTGAAAAGGGGAATAAAATGGGACTTATGAAGGATCAACTAATTTCCAAATGGTATCTTTCACACATATTTGATCTTGATCTTTTATTAATAAAATCTGATACACAAACTAGTCTATCATTATGGAGATACAATTGGAGACACCATGTTCCACCTTGGCTCTGATTGACAATATGTCTAACCCCGTGGCCTTGGCAGCAAATTGAATCATGGAAGTGCAATGCCTTCAACTCCAAACCCGGTCCAGATGTCCTACAAACATCTCATTGATTTCTAGATGTAAAGTGGCAAGTTCATGTATGTCAAGTTACATTAATAAACCCTTATTATAAAACTTTATTACAGACACGCGGGCCAGATAAGAAAGACATCACACAAAAACAAAAACAATAAGAAACATAAAAATAAGCATACATAATTACTACTGTACCAGTGAGTGCGGCACTTACACTGATGTTGGTCAGGCTCATTATGATCACATTGATTCAGTCGACAATTAAATCTGTACATCCGGTTTCTTAGGACAGCACAAAAAGTCCGAATCCCAGAAGTAACAAATATTTGGCTGGCACTCTCCCACCGAGGCCTTTTCAACAGGATTCTTAGGCAGTCATTGTACGCCACATTTAGCCTCTGTATGCTCGATTGTCTATAGTTCGAGCACAGATGTGCCGTATGATGTACAATAAGCTTTAAAAAGTGTCTTTTTCACTTCATCTGCACACGCACCAAACCTGCGCACAAACCTGTTGGCCTGTGAATACATCATGCGGCACTGCCGTACACATCGTCATCGTCAGACAAGTTATCAGTAATAAAATGTCCCAAGTACTAGTGTTTGTTGATCTATCTATGTTGGGGTTCTTAATAATCAGACCCACCATGCTGAGACTGATGGGTTGTAATAACTCCACTGAAACTCTTGCCTCAAGATGACAAAAGGAGGTCATTCCTTTGGCTGTCAGTCTGTGCATAATGCTAATAATACGAGCTCCAGAACCATAAAATACCCGGCACATGTCCCCATACTTGCCATGTAAAGGGGTAAACTTACGACCCACCCTCCCCCGCAAGAGGACTTTCCTTTCTCTTTCCGTGTTGACGGTGTGAAATGCCAGAGGATGTGAGCCGCTGACACATTGCCCTTTGACCTTTTGGTGAGGGGAGGGTCTAATATAGCGTGGTCCTGGCACCCCGGTGACTATCCACACACATGAGGCTGAGGACCCTGAACTGTGGACGGGTCACTGGAACAAAACACGCACTATCCATTCCAATGGCCCCATACGCCGGACACAGACGCACATCACCATCAGGACTGGACCGGTCAACTGCATTGGTCAAACAAATGCTGTTTATGATGCAAAATCACCTTTAGTTAGAATTGTTTCCTACACAAGCAAGAAGGGCAAGCATGTTTGAGTAAATCCTATTTTCCTCTTGCTGCTTCTGACCCCTCTGACCACCTGTAAACACCTTTTTTTTTTCCTGTTTGTCTTAATCAGTGATACACAGATAATTCATCAAACATCCATGATCCATAAAATGTTTACGCACTCTCTTTTGATTTTAAACAAAGATTAAAGTTTACATTGGTTCATTATCTAGCTCCCCGCGAACTTGATCAGCTTCACGGAGTCGTGGCTGGAGGTGCAGTGGTTGGTGTACAGGGAGAAGAGCAGGGGAGAAAGAACACAGCCCTGTGGGGCTCCTGTATTTATAATCCGAGAGTCCGAGACATTCTTCCCCAGACGCACTCGCTGCTTCCTGTCCGTCAGGAAGTCAGTGATCCACCTGCAGGTGGAATCGGGCACGTTGAGCTGGGAGAGCTTGTCCTGGAGCAGGGATGGCAGGATTGTGTTGAAGGCAGAGCTGAAGTCCACGAACAGGACCCTGGCGTAGGTCCCCGGGAGTCCAGGTGCTGTAGGATGTGGTGGAGGGCCAGGTTAATGGCGTCGTCTACAGATCTGTTGGCTCTGTAGGCGAACTGCAGGGGGTCCAGGAGGGGGGAGGTGAGGGACTTGAGATGGGAGAGAACCAGGCGTTCAAATGACTTCATGACGACAGACGTAAGTGCTACAGGTCTGTAGTCATTGAGTCCTGTGATCCTGGGCTTCTTCGGGACGGGGACAATGATGGAGGATTTGAAGCAGGCCGGGACATGGCAGGACTGCAGAGAGGAGTTGAAAATGTCCGTGAACACAGGAGTAAGCTCACTGGCGCAGTGTCTCAGAGTGGCCGGAGACACGTGGTCCGGGCCAGGAGCTTTGCGGGGGTGCAGCCTCAGGAAGAGTTGTTTAATCTCTTTAGCGGCTATTGTTAGGCTGGGGCAGGGCTGATGGGTGGGTCGTTAGAGTAGTGGGGGGTGGGGGAGGGAGAGGTGTCAGGGGCAGCATCAAAGCGACTGAAAAATAAGTTCAGATCGTCAGCTAGCTTGTGGTCATCAGCACAGGGGGGGGCTTTGGGTTTTGTAGTTGGTGATCTCCCGTAGGCCCCTCCAGACAGAAGCAGTATCGTTGTTACCAAACTGCTCCTGTAGTCGTTCTCTGTGCCGGGACTTGGCTGCTTTCAGTTCTTTCCTGAACTGATATTTAGCTGCTTTGTAGCCGCTGCGGTCCCCCTCCCTGAAAGCAGACTCCTTTGCTTTCCTGAGCTGCCGGAGTTTAGCAGTGAACCAGGGTTTGTCGTTGTTATAGATGACCCTGGTCCTTGTTGGAATGATGCTATCCTCACAGAAGTGGATGTATGACGTCACAGTGTCCGTATATTCATCCAAGCTGTCTGTGGCAGCTCTGAAAAGGTCCCAGTCTGTAGATTCCATGCATGCGCGCAGCTCTTCCACAGCTTCATCAGACCACACTTTGGAGCTCCTCACTGCAGGTTTCGAGAGCTTTAGTCTCTGTCTGTAAGCAGGAACCAGATGTATCATGGAGTGATCTGAGAAGCCGAGGGCTGGCTTGGGAACAGCGCGAAAAGCTCCGCGCACGGTGGTGTAACAGTGATCCAGAGTGTTCTCCTCTCTGGTCGGGCATTTGATAAACTGTCTGTATTTGGGTAATTCCTGGCTCAAGTTTCCCTTATTAAAATCCCCCAGGATAATAATCAGAGAGTCCGGGTATAAGCGTTCCATACACAGTACTTGCTCTGCGAGTGCGCGCTGAGCCTCGCGCGCGTCCGCGCATGGCGGTATGTAAACAGAGGCAAGAATGAATGAAACAATTTCCCGCGGGGAGTAATATGGTTTACAATGAATGAAAAGATATTCCAGAGCAGGAGAGCAGTGCTTGGAGATCACTGTCACATCGTTACACCAGTTTGTATTGACGTAGAAACAGAGCCCTCCGCCTCTGCTCTTCCCTGAGAGCGCACAATGGCGATCCGCGCGAAACAGCCCAAAGCCCTGCAGCTCCAGAGCGCAGTCCGGGATCCGCTCATTTAGCCAGGTCTCAGTGAAGCAGAGGACACAGGATGTGGCGAAGTCCTTGTTTCTTCTCATGAGCAGGCTGAGTTCGTCCATCTTATTGCCCAGTGAGCGTACGTTGGAGAGAAAAATGCCGGGGAGAGCCGTGCGCGCTCCTCTCCTCCTAAGACGCACGAGCAGGCCTCCTCGCTTTCCCCTTTTACGGGCCCACACTTTTTGGCTAGAACATGAACTAAATCAGCCGCAGATGCCAAGAAAACAGGCAATAGGTCCATGGGAACGGTGGGTCGGATGTTCATAAGTTCCTCACGGGTGTAGGAACAGCCAGATGCACAGTTAAAAAGTAAAAACAAAAGAAAAAGAGAGCAGCAAAGAGCCATGTCGACCGTACGAGGCGCCATCTTGTAGAGGCGTGAACAATGCGTGATGAGTCGGCCATGTTGGGACCAAAACTGCGATTACGTGCACAAACAAGGTGGGAAATTTGAAAGTTGTTTTGATGGTTGGATTGTTTGCTAGACAGATCTGGGCAAGGCTGTAAATTCCAAAAGTAACTGTATGTCTGACCAATGTATCTTTTAGAAATCTAAAATAATGAAAGGTGTATTTGAAGAGGACATAATGTTTGTGGATAAGGACAGGATTTCTAGATAACAAAAAAAGAATAAAGTCACGGGAAAAAAAAACTACAAAAATGTGATAGTAATAATTGCAAGTACACACATACATAACTCACAACTAATGCATACATCGTACAAATACACACACAATACGTCTACATACAAATACCTACATACATACATACATACTCAAACATACCCTCACATAATAGTACACATAGTACCACTTTCAGTGGGGCATACAACTCATACATGCCTAATATACATATACCTACACACACATACGTAAGTCACACACAAGAATACACTCACACACATAGTCACAATGAGACATAACAGAGACTACATGAATATAATGAAATGAAACGCAACATAACAGATAAAAAAATTGAGTATCACCAAGTTCCTTGTGCTTTGTTTAATAAGCTGCCTTAGCACTGGATCTGTTCCTGCAGCACTTCAAGCATGCGTGTTAGGCCACTGTTAAAAAAACCTAATCTAGATCCGGCTATCTGTCAAATTTTCGACCTGTCTCTCAACTGCCATTTTTGTCTAAGGTTTTAACAGAAACAATCATCATTCAGTTTGCAGACCTTTGTGAAACTAATCTATATTGGAGAAAAATTCAATCAGCTTCAGAGCGCGTCACAGCACGGAGTCCAGCTCTTCTTAAAGTGCACAAACGACATTCTCTGTCTTTGGGATTCGAAGCAGCCATGCTTTGATGATGCTGGACCTGACTGCGGCGTTTGACCCCGTGGACCAATCAGTTCACCTCTCCCGGCTGGCGAGCATTTTGGTGTTCAGGCACGGTCCTGCAGTGGTTCAGGTCTACCAACTGAACGAGCTTGTGTGATGGTCAGTGACAATCCTCCTCCTCCACCCCGCTGTCATCTGGGGTGCCACAGGGTTCCCATCCACGGTCCCGGTCCTTTTCTCGACTTTACATGCAGCCTCTCTGGTCCATCTTGCCAGACATAAGTTATCATTCCCATCTTTATGCTGACGATGTCCCAGGTTATATTTACCCAGTGCTCCCTAACACTCCACTGCCCTTTGACTCCCTTCACCACTGCCTTTCGGACATTAAACAATGGCTCACCGCAAGAATTTCCTCACCTCAATGACACAAATCCGAATTCATTATCCTTGGCTCCGGGATGTTCCACAGTTTCAGTTCCAGGTTCGTGGGTCCAGTCCGTGGATGCCGTCAGGAACCTGGGAGTTGTTTTTTTGACCTGGGAACTGAACTTTAAACAACATATACATGCTGTGTCAAAGCCAGCTTTTTCCCGCTGCGCCTTTTGACCACGGTGAAGCCCTTTCTCTTCACGCAAATACCTCGAGAAGGCAACGCACTCATTTACCGCTCTCGTAGACTATTGCAACGCTCTCTACTCTGGCCTCCCACAGTCGTCACTCAACCGTTACAGTTGTGCATGAAAGCAGCAGCCCGTCTTCTCACCGTCAACTAGATACAGCCACATCACTCCTGTCCTCTCCTCCCTGCACTGGCTCCCGGTCCGTATTTCGATTGATTTTAAATGTAAGCTTGTTTTAAAGCTCTCATGGGTCTCTCTCCGTTATATTTAACTGAGTTGTTGACGGTACATCGCCCCAGCAAGCTCGCCGTTCATGCCAATCTAATGTTCTGGATGTGCCCAGTCCCACTACAAACAGTGGGGCGAACGTTCCTTTCAGGGTTGCAGCCCTAAACGTGGAACAGCTTTGCCCACACAGTCTGCGTGTTCTCAAGACCTGTCCCTTTTTTAAGGTCCAGAATAAAGACTCATCTTTTTTAAAACTAGCTTTTAATACTTAGGGCATCACTGGAATTGTGTCTGGTTGTTTCATTTTGTTTTAAATGTTTTTTAATCTGTCTGGAAGCACTTTGGTCCGCCGGAGTTGTTGAAAAAGTGCTATACAAATAAACTTTGTTGATAGTATGAAACATACTCATACATACCCTCCATATAGTACACATGTACACATTCATACCATACACATACATGCCTACATACAAATACCTACACCACTACGTAAGCCACACACAAGAATACCACTCACTCTCATAGTCACCATGAGACATAAACATCAACTAACAATAAAAATAAAGATGATATGAAACAGCAACCATAACAGTAACAGAATCGAGTATCACCAAGTGTCTTTTCTGGCCAAGTTTCATCCCTGTATCGTATAAAAAACATGTTCGTTTTTGTAAAAACTTGGAGAGTATACTAGAGGCCCCACTTGGAATAGACACAATTAGAGGAAAAAACTTCAGAAAACTGATTGTGTTTAATGACGTCACAGTCTGAGGATTGATCACAATCACAGCCTATTTTTGGAAAAAAGCATCGAGACTAAAGGGGGGAGAGAGGAATGTTGCCAATTGTTTGTAATCTTTAGTTTGTTTCCCCCCAGGTTGAGACCACATCTCTATAGCAGTGTTTCACAATCAAAAATCTTATGAAATTGATAATAATCAATTTTCAAATGAATCAATGTGAAATAATACCATTTGGTCCAGAATTTGTTCAACTCTAAATAAACAAAAAAATAATAACATTGAAAAGTCAAAAAAAAAAAAAACATTGTTAATCAAACACTTACGTAATACTTAAAAGCAATTATGAGAAAAGTGTAAAAAAAAAAAATTCCATCAAGAAATGAGAAGACCTTCAACATATCCGTGCAAAACCAGTCCGTGTCTCCGACCAGCAAGAGTTTTTTGACCCCTGGTTATGTGGAATATTTCCCCCTCCCCCTAACGGTGACTCCCAGTCTCCATCGGCAAAAGAGACAACAGTTTATTTAGATCTACTCTCTGTAGACTAATGGATTTCTCCTTGCACTTCCTCCTTTGTAATAGTCATTGCCTGTATATCCCTGTTGGCCTGCTCCTCTTGACCTATCCATTTGCCATTGATCGATCCCCTCTTTTTTCAAAACCCCCTTGTTCTTTTGCCCAAACAAACCCGATATTCTAACCGACTATACACTCAATACACCCTTCCTGTTTACACCAATCCCCCCTTAGACCGCGACCCTACATTCCGCTGTCCGATAACCTTCGCTCAACGATCCCTCCTCTCTCTCCAATCAGAACGAGCGTACATCACTCCGTCCGCCCCGAGTGCTAGCTTTTAGATGGCTATCTCCGTATTGCTAATGTCTCCAGGCGGTTTGCGTGTGTGGGATGCGTCGATGACGGTTGTGTGAGTGTGTTCCGCCACTTAATTATAAGGTGTATTTGTCAGAGATAACAGGGAGTGATAGGGCGTATTCGTGTCATGGGTTCCCAATCAGCTTTAATTTTCCACCGTGTTTGCATCGAATGCGGACGATGAGACAAGATAAAGAGGCGACGGATGTGTATGTCGGTTTGTCTCAGTGTGGCTAATTCAATTGGAATAGTTCTGAAGAGCTGTTGGATGGTTGCAAGAGAAGATCCTTGTTTCCTCCGATTAGATCCAAAACGTTGGTGAGCTGAAATTTCAGTGATAAATTCTCTCTGCAAAAGTGTGACATTTTTTTACTTTTCAACACCACCACATGTATATCCCAACCTTACATTGAAGTTTTGCATGGGAACTGTAATCTACACTGAAGTTTCACTGATTATTGCAAATGTTAAAGATTAGGGCTGAGCGATAAACCGATAACGATATATAGTGCATATAGACACGTGATCGATATCGCAAATGAAAAAACGGCGTTCGATAGAACTTCGATGGTTTCACTTCAGTCCCCGTTCGAAAAAAACAGGAGCAAACACTGGAAGTAAAGCCGAGTCACAAGCGCACGGCATTCTGGGTTATGGTACGGCAAAGGCTCTCAGACGTGTCACACGCCGACTACAAACCGCAAAACTTTCTGGGAAAAGCAAAAAAACAACTGCACCAAGCGTAGCGTCCATGGAACATGGATCTATTAAAATGGATCGAAAAGGATAGTGTTTTCAGTGCCGTGTCAGTGTTAAACCACGTCCGAGCGAGGAACAGCATGTGCGGGCGGCAGAGGCAGAGACTCGTTGCATGCGGCAAAAAGCAAGAGATTAACTTTTTTCCAGACCGCCACGGGACACAAACACGCAAAACAGCCAAAACAGAGCAGAACCAGGACAAAAGTGGGGAGACTGCTTGTGACATTTGGCTCCAGCCTCATTCCCGTGACTGTAAACAAGGCTGCCTAACATGTGTGAGCAGACACAACACATGTATTTATTTACGTTTTTAAAAAATAAAAAAAAAACAAATCCAATAAATATCTTATCGACCGATAGAATTCTTATATTGTGAAATTGATTTTCAGCCATATCACCCAGCCCTCATGTTAAAGTATGTTTTTGATGTATTATTTTCAGTATGAGTTACAATATAATGACGTTTGACCACAAAAACTGAGCCCAAAAGTCACACCTATTTTCAAGAGAATTTGGCTTTGTAACTATCTGCCTCAGTGGCTCCCACACGTACTTTTCTGTACATTCCTTGACCTATTGTGACTGAACAACTGACAGCTCATGGAATGTTGTCGTAAGTACAACAAAACTCGCTAGCCCGTCGTAATTTATTTCACACCAAACATTCTGAAATGCATTCCAGAATGCCTTTCAGAACAGCCGCCAAAGTCATTCCACTTGAAATGTTGCAATTCATACACATTTTAAGCTTGTGAAAGGTTTTTTTTAGCCTTTGCCTAATCCCCAGTCCACATGTACTCCCAAGGAACCTTGTTTTACCCTTTGGCTGTCCTCCTCAGGGGGGTCTTTGTCACCCCTTATCTCCCTGTCGCCATCCGCTATTGCTATTCCAAATCCCACACAGCTAACATTTCTCTTGCACCTCTACACGCACTCAGCACATACGCACAAGCGGCGATGGAACAGAAAAAGCGAGAAAGTAACTTTGTGATAGTGCCTTAGAGAATGCCACTGACACTGATATTTAGCTATGCTTATGCTGTACCTAACTCTTATCTTTTGGAACATCAATAGTATTTCACAATGCACATGACTGGCTCAAGATATTGGTTCCTGGTTGGGTCTCAAAACAAGTTATCCGCAATTCTTTCTTTGTGGTCCAGTAAAAATGATAACACATATTACAGTACTTGTTTGAATACTCTTTGATTAAGGATGTACATTCAACTTTAGTTCTTCACTGCAAATATATGTTTTTGTATCATATCTGCTAGCAGGTCCATTCACATTCATTCCAATACATTGTTTTTGTGCCGTTTAATACCATTATAGACAAGCACATTATGACACACAGTAGGTCTGTCTGTGGGAAGGAAACCTACGCTTATCGGGTTTAATATGAATAGGGCCAAAAAAAAATACTATTATCAAACATTAATACAATTTCACTTTTGCTCTTAGTTGATCTGAACAAAAAGTTATGAAAACATGTACAGCAGTCAGAAAAAAAGGGAAACACTTTACATCCACCCCACACGTTTACATTCTCATGCTCAGGGGCCACTCGCTGCTGCAAAAAGACAGACGGCACATACGGAAAGCATGGATATGACGAGTACATTTAAAAGACCATAGTGGACAAAATGCACTATATAAAGCTATAACGCATGAAGATCGAGAGGAGAAGAAAAAGACACCGCTAAAAAATAATATATGAAACTAAACTGGACCAAACCAAAAGCCCATATTATACCAGGGATGACGAGAACAAACATTGGTCAGACTCACCTCTGTCTTTGGCACCGATCTGCTGGAGACATATTATTCCTTACTCATAGAAGAAACCGGGACTTTTTCACGCCAAGAAGGGTCGTAGTAAAAAACCATTTGTCGCATTTTTTACCACAGTATAGTGGCCCGGCTTTTCGCCGTTGCGGTCAAGTGGCCTTAACTGATACTTAGGGAAAACGGAGAAAAGGAAGGCGAAGGGAAGAGACAAAATTTCAATTTTAGGTTCATCATCCCAGTGAACAAGTGGCAGAGAAAGTAGTTGCAAAACTTATATTTGTTTATGAAATTTTTTATCCCCGCATCCCCCCGTGCATCTCTTTCTACGTTTACCGTGGGGAACAGCTAAAGGGCAACCTGCTTATTAATTGTGCGGACCACTTTACCGTCCATCTTTTTGCTGTGGTTTTCCAAAGGTATTAGAACAAAAACTTTGATATCTGCCCCCAGCGGCCGTAAACCTACCACACAACAAGATGGACCATTTGATTAGTAAAACCCTCTTCAAATTCTAAAACTAGGTACCTCTCTAGCATCCAGAAGCATTCCATGCTTGTTTTGCCACCCGTCACATGGCCGGTCTGGAAAACAATAAACTACGATGTCACTCCAAGATACTGTCTAGAGACTGGACAGATACGTACTGATGGTGGGTTGTATGGAAGTTTTGACTCAAAAATACTTCATAATGGCAAGGATGAGCTAGAGACAACACAAAGATTTTCTTGGTTAAGGGTACAATGTTGCAACGTTAAGTGTCTTTACAACATCCTCTATGCCCGGTCCGTCCCAATCGTCGCCCGGTGGTGCCCCCCCCCCGCCATATCCCATCAGCACAAACTTCTTATTTACAGAGATCAAATGCGTATTAATTCATGTGGCTGCTGATCGTGCCGTTAACACTGCCGACGTTATGGGAAGTTTGCCCATGCCAGTTCCACCTCTCATTCTTTCTTTCTTCCCATGCAGAGATTTATTGCGCCAACAACTCGATCGGGCCGTTGTAAAGCCTACTTATGGCTACGGCGCGCTATCTTGGGAGAATAGGGGGCATAGCGGGTCGTAACTCTGGTCTTCAATCGGATGGTTTGACCCTGTTTGTGTAGCACGAGATTTAGGGCGGTAATTAGAGACTTAATTGTTTTTCATCAGTCAGAAACCAGCGAGACGCAGGTAAAATGGCTGCCGGTGTACTTGACAGAAGCTCACCCCAAGGATATTGATTCTGTGATGTGATGGAACTATTATCTTGTCAGGTGTTTAGCAATAAATGTTTTGCTAAAACACAGAAACTGAATGAATGAATCAAAATAAAGCTGATAATGGCAGCCATGAAGATAATTGATCATTGAAAACTATTGTAATTAAGTTTATGTATGAGTTGCATATACGTTTTAAGACATTCTAGTCAACACAATCTATAAAGGCTCAGTTTCATACAGTAAGGGAGCTCAAGAATTGGAGCCAAAGCTGCATTGTGGTTGTCTGATTATAATAAATATATGAAATACTTGTCACACTCACTTGAACATAGTTTCTGCCTCATGATTCCCAAACCACACTTTGATATGGGGACTGAAGTTCTCTCCGTGGATGTCCAGCGTGGCCACATGTTCCCCACCGTTGACCTGCCAACACAGCACATGTTTTCTCTGCCTCCTGTGGGTCTTAGCGCACACGTTAGCATGGATACCCACCTCCAGCGCACAGATGATGGGGAACGGGCTGACAGGACTCTGGGCTTGAGCCAGACTCTGGTAAAAGCTGAACTCCACAGACTCCACTCCAATGATGGTCCAACAGGAGCCGTCGTTCAGAACCTCGCGGCTGGGGTCCCGTGCTGGGCTCTGGGCAGAGGGAGAGGGCCGTAAATACAGGAGCAACATCCAGAAACGCAATTGAAGGTGACAGTTGTAAGTATACAGCAAACACATCAGGAAATAGAATTTGGAAAATCCATAAGGCTGTTACATAATATCTGCTTTCTCACCAGAAACAGCAGCTAAGTTGTTTGAATACAGTATGATAGAACTATTTGTACTGTTGGAGGTACTGGATGTTCTGCAAAAGTATTTCCTTCCATATTATTACAACAAAAGAAAACATGTATTTCCCCTTGACAATACAAAAATGTATTGTAACGTATTGTATTGTAAAATACAACTACCTACACTACTGTAGGTAATTGATAGCACTGGGTAACAAAAAAATGTTTTTTTGAAAATAGTCCAGGATTTTTCAGCTGAATTAGACTAATGTTGATGCTCTGAGTCCAAAAATGACCTTGGTTTTGCTCAATCAGGTCAGGATTTTTTGCTACAGAAATATTTTTTTTAATCGATTTTGCGTAAAAAACAAATTTCTGCGGATCATCAGCTGAGAAACCCTTGACGTTTTTTCCGTTTTCCTCATGAAATAAAAGTCAACGTATCCAAAGTCATTCAGTTTTTATTTACTCCATCAAATTTGATAAGCAGAATTCATAATAACGTAGACGTACATGATCCGTAACACTATGGCTGTATCTCAAAAAGTTGACCTGATAGAGCAAAATGCATGTGATATTTGGACTCAGAACACCAACATTTGTCTAAATCAGTTGAGAAACCCTTGACCATTTTTTGGCTGTCAACTTGTGTAGTTTAAGAGGGGGTCTTGCTGCTGATCGACTTTGACATTTCCCGTTTTCTTAAACTTGTGGATATTTCTAAGTGCTGCTGCATCAGGTCTCTTAACATACATTTTAGAATATGACAAAAATCTGCTTGATATTATGAAAATCTGAACGGCAGATACTAAGACACGTTCTAATGTCACAACAAAAGACATCACCTTTCACAACCATGGAATTATACCGTGTTGCTGAGTACCAAAACAAACTATCCTGAATGTACAGTGGGATTATGCAGAGGCTGAATCTAATTGGTCTAAATCATAATAAATAAGGGTAACTGACGTGGTACTGAATGATGCTCTCATTGGACAAGCACAGGTAAGAGTGTGGGCTGTCTCTGAACTGAAAAGCACATTTGTGAAGCTGAGAAACCGGCTCGTCCACGTCCAGGATGGCGTGCTGCTTGTTCACTTTACGGATCACCTGCACAAAACACACACAACATGTTATTACAATTCAAACTGTGATTGGGACACCACAACAAACAAAAGGACAGATGTCTCACTTCTCAGCAAAAAGACCCAGGGTTTGTCTGTTTAGGTTTCCTCCGGCTTTCCCCTACCACGAAAAATCCTCCTGCTCCTCCTGACCAAGCCGAGGCTCAGCATCTGGAGATTGGTCCCTTGCTCCTGATAAGAGCCCTAGCGGTGAAATGCAGAGGACCAATTGCCCTATAGGGATGATAACTAACAAACTAACTACCATATTTTCCTTACCATACGCCGCAAGTATCCCATGTTGTAATATTGAAAAACGTTTATAATTTTTTCTTACTGCGCCACTGACCGGCTGTTCTTAATCTTCCAGTGTCACGCAAAAAGCAACATCTACTGGTACTTTTTTCACATTCATGTCTATTCAAAGAACCTAAAAACGTTTTATTATATGAGATATTTACGCAGAGATATTATAAGTGAGGACTTTTAAACTGCATATAATTTTCTTGGTAACAAACGATTACATACTGTATTACAAATGCTTTTTTTCTAACTGTAACCTTTAAATATACTGTACATTTGTATCAGTAACGCACTGTACATCATATGCTTTTCTTCTAGTATTATCCATGTTGATGATGGTGACTACATATGACTGATTGACATCTTATACAATTTATTTGGACCTCTGTGAACTATTCATGAGGTCTGTTGGTCTACTGTTACTTGACAAAATGTTTTTGGTGCCACAAAGAAAATAAACGTAAAACAAATACAAAACGACAAAATGAAGCCTCACCTTAGTATAAAACGCAGCGTTCAAAGTGCGGCCGGGAAAAAACTTTCAGCTTATAGTCCGGAATTTACGGTAACTACATGTAGGTAGAAAACCATTGTCCTGTTGGAATGAGTAATGTGTAATGTAAACTTGTTAAAAGCACTTAAATATATATGGCATGACGTGATGAATGAAGGATCAAGCTAGAGTTTTGGGCGGGACAAAAGAGGCCATGAACTTTTCTGTTGTTACAGAATCTCAGAAAGTCTTTGGAAAAGGAATTTGAGGCTGTTTTTCTGGCTTTACCTCTTCAGTCCCAACAAGACTAGAATAAGCAACATTCAGTAAGACCACCATCAACAATCCAAACCACAGGTCAATTCAGTATAGTGCAGCCATACTCAAGACTTTGTAAAGGAAAATGTATAGTAGGCAGGTCATTATCGGAAAATAAGTACCGACAGGGCGAAACAGTGGTTGTTTTCTGATAATGACCTGCCTACTATACATTATCCCGCTTATTATACAGCTATACCAACAGAACACACAACATAAACTTCAGTCCACTCTTAGGAATGCCGAAAGGATGATTTAATGAGTGCAAATAAAATAGTTCCCAAAGGCTTTCCCGTGGCTATGCGAGTAACAGTTAGGCTGGCAACTTCCCTAACTAGAACTCTCTCAAACTGCATGAAAACTGAACAAAGAATTCTGAACATCAGCGGTGAGTGACCCAAACATAAACCTAACCTAAATCCATAATTTGATACTCTGCAAATGTGTCCTCAAATATCCCGGAATCTACTCTTTCGCAATCGCTTTTTCTGGAATTAAAACAGTATTTTTGTCATGAAAACGTTAACGGATAATTCTGAAAACCTCCGTGCACGTGTGTTAAGAATGTATATGTCTAATGTATTCTCCCAATAACATTTAAATGTTAATTCATTTAGTTATTTGCCTTTTTGTTTACCTCTTCTACTATAATATATAAGCTGCAACTGGACTATTATTTAATAGTGTTATTATTACCATTATTGTTATTGTTGTTATTATTAATATCATTATTCATGTATTAACTTTCTCCTCTGGATGGAAGTGGCAGTGGCTGTATCATTTCTATTTATGTTATGTATTTATTCTCAATATAATCAATTACCCTGATAACACCACTAATATCATAATGAATTACCCCATTGCTTAACATTATTATCAATATCAATAAGTAAATATGTATTTGTATACATACACCTATACATACGTAAATAATAAAAGTAAAATAAAAAAAAGGAGTGAAAAAAATTATAAAAAATGAAAATAAAGGAAACATCCCCCTCCATCCCCCTTTTACCAAGTATGTCTGTTTTTAATGCACCACATTTCACAAATGTTTTTAATGCACTACACATACAGGCCCGGTGGGTTATGGAGGGGCCAGACATGTGGAAAGGGGAAGGAGTTCAAATTTCTAAATATGGTCTGAATATATCTATTGCGATAACCCTATATGATTTAATTTCTATATTTTATATACACATATGATTTTTGTGTATGTATATAGGTGCATGTGTGTATTTGTAGGTACTGATATATATGTATATATACTGTAGGTATATATCTGTATATGTATCTCCAACAAGCCTTATAGTTTAAACACTTCATCCATAGCTACAAGCATATGCTTGTGTCTGGGTATATCGGTTGGACCATTTTTGTATTTTTTTATTTATTTTTTTGTATATTTGATATAATTTATTTATCCTTATTATTATTATTCTTACTTGTGTCACTATGCATTTACTATGGTACTATTCCTTTACTGCAATTCATCCCATGTCTTATAGGTTAAAAATGCCATTATTCATCCAGTACTATGCTTATTATCTGTCCGTTTTGTTTTGTTTTTAGACCAAATATTAATAATAATGTTGCACAATGTGATGTCCCGCACACACACTCACATGTCCCGCACACACACACAATCTGCTGTATCCCTTATAATATGTATATACACATATTCTTGTTTGTTTGTTTGTTGAATGTATGTTACCTTGCAAAATCAAATAAAGCTTTAAAAAAAAAAAAAAAAAAAAACATTTAAATGTGTTGATCGATTGGTATTTGCGTGTATTGAGCGTGGCTAGCTCCGATTTATAGTCCATGGACAGTAGTAGCGACAAAGTGGCCGGACTGTTTGCGGAGTAATCTACACATCTGAATTACAAGCAGAGAGTGTGTTGCCATGAGCAGCGGTAATTATTGTTTTGAGAGGTCGGTTATGAAGAAATAATGAGCGGTAGAACGTTTTGAAATGACATTCAAATCAATGGAGCGTTCAACTGCTGCAGTGAGGAGCCGTGTATTAGTATTAGATAGCAATATGGCCTACGTGCAGGACTGTACAAGGACTCTACAAGGACTCCATGTTATGACTATGATGTGACTGTCTCTTTGTGACACGTATGTCTTTCCATGTGTGACGTGACAATGACTATATAAACTGTGTACTGCCTTTATTCTGTCTGAGGAAAAGAAACAGAGTAAACCAGTGGAAACTTAAATAAACTTCCAGAGTTTGGCACACCACGATCCGTCTCTGTCTGCTAAATCCTAACAGATTTGGTGGAGAATGCGCGGCTCGGTTTGTGCCATTCTCTGGATTGTTTTGAGAGAATTTCCTCTGTTTCTTTTTTTTCGGCGTGTGGGAGCAACAGCACGTTATCTGGAAGGGGAGAAATCCCAGCGGACGCTGAAAGGGCTCGTTTTTGGATGGGCTTGCTCTTGCTCCCTCTTACACAGCAAGACAGCCATCAAATTCCCGTTTCTCCGCGCTTCCGGTTTATTGATCTATGGTCACGCCATCCACGTGTAAATCCATATCATGTATTTATCCATATTTGGGTGGGAGACGCTAGCTTCGTCCCACCAGTGGGTGTGTGTGGGGGGGCGATAGCTTGTGGGTGCGGGGCGGGGAGCAGAAAGAAAAGAGGCCAGCGAGGTCGCAGCTTCATAATCCCAAAGTCAGTTAGTGCAGCTTTAATGTACTGTGATATTTATGCTATATTGTCTTGTTCAGCACTTTGATTTGCTTTGTGTATGAATTGGTGCTATACAAATAAACTTGCCTTGCCACGTGACCACTTTGCGGCTCTTTGATCGCTGCACGAGCATCTGAGGAAAAGCTCAGCAAGCTTTATCTCCTGCGTGCTGTAAATTTTTCGCTCCTGCGCTTTTGTTGAGCTTTGCAGTCCGTGCTGCATGCAGTTCCACGCTCGATACAGTGGGGCAAAAAAGTATTTAGTCAGCCACCGATTGTGCAAGTTCTCCCACTTAAAATAATGACAGAGGTCTGTAATTTTCATCTTTGGTACACTTTGAGAGACAGAATGTGAAAAAAAATATCCATGAATTCACATTGTAGGATTTGTAAAGAATTTATTTGTAAATTATGGTGGAAAATAAGTATTTGGTCACTTCAAACAAGGAAGATCTCTGGTTCTCACAGACCTTTAACTTCTTCTTTAAGAAGCTCTTCTGTCCTCCACTCGTTACCTGTATTAATGGCTTGAACTCGTTATCTGGATAAAAGACACCTGTCCACAGCCTCAAACAGTCAGACTCCAAACTCCACTATGGCCAAGACCAAAAGAGCTGTCGAAGGACACCAGGAAAAGAATTGTAGACCTGCACCAGACTGGGAAGAGTGAATCTACAATAGGCAAGCAGCTTGGTGTGAAAAAAATCAACTGTGGGAGCAATTATCAGAAAATGGAAGACATACAAGACCACTGATAATCTCCCTCAATCTGGGGCTCCACGCAAGATCTCATCCCGTGGGGTCAAAATGATCATGAGAACGGTGATCAAAAATTCCAGAACCACACGGGGGGACCTGGTGAATGACCTGCAGAGAGATGGGACCAAAGTAACAAAGGTTACCATCAGTAACACACTAAGACAACAGGGAATCAAATCCTGCAGTGCCAGACGTGTCCCCCTGCTGAAGCCAGTGCATGTCCAGGCCCGTCTGAAGTTTGCCAGAGAGCACACGGATGATACAGCAGAGGATTGGGAGAATGTCATGTGGTCAGATGAAACCAAAGTAGAACTGTTTGGTATAAACTCAACTCGTCGTGTTTGGAGGAAGAAGAATACAGAGTTGCACACCATACCTACTGTGAAGCATGGGGGTGGAAGCATCATGCTTTGGGGCTGTTTTTCTGCTAAGGGGACCGGACGACTGATCCGTGTTAAGGAAAGAATGAAGGGGGCCATGTATCGTGAGATTTTGAGCCAAAACCTCCTTCCATCAGTGAGAGCTTTGAAGATGAAACGTGGCTGGGTCTTCCAGCATGACAATGATCCCAAACACACCGCCCGGGCAACGAAGGAGTGGCTCCGTAAGAAGCATTTGAAAGTCCTGGAGTGGCCTAGCCAGTCTCCTGACCTCAACCCCATTGAAAATCTGTGGAGGGAGTTGTTAGTCTGTGTTGCTTGGCGACAGCCCCAAAACATCACTGCTCTCGAGCAGATCTGCATGGAGAAATGGGCCAAAAAACCAGCTACTGTGTGTGCAAACCTGGTAAAGACCTACAGTAATCGTTTGACCTCTGTTATTGCCAACAAAGGTTATATTACGAAGTATTGAGTTGAATTTTTGTTATTGACCAAATACTTAAATTTTCCACCACAATTTACGAATAAATTCTTTAAAAATCCTACAATGTGAATTCCTGGATTTTTTTTCACATTCTGTCTCTCACAGTTGTACCTATGATGAAAATTACAGACCTCTGTCATTATTTTAATTGGGAAAACTTGCACAATCGGTGGCTGACTAAATACTTTTTTGCCCCACTGTACACATTTTGTTTTCTGAGTCCATTGCAATTTATTTCATATACATTGTAAGCGGCAGAGGTTTTTTTCTAAAAGGCTTGATTTTGATATCTATAACTTAAAAGTGATAAGAGATGAAGGCTTTCTGTAAATTAGAAAAATACCCATCTAATTTTACACATGATTTTTTGTTGAATTTTCATAAAATATATATAATTTAATTTTTTTCTGACAGACATACAAATCGCCCGGGTCGCCGAAACGAGCGCCTCCATGACTGAGTGTCACCGCGAGGCTGGAAGTAGCGGCGAGGTGCCCTGACGCGACTTCCAGGCTTGTTCTCCGCAAATCTAACCCGTCTTCAAACCTCCCAAGGACCACCCTGACCTAGAGAAACGCTGTTCCAACACTCGTAGCTGCACTCGCTTCGCTATGATTTCCGCACCAATTAAACGCGGCCTTGCTCAAATATTTTGTCTGGGAACATTACGTTTTTTTGGGCCAGGGAGGTAGTCTGACATGTCTGCCAACTAGTGGGAGGGAGTTTGAATGAATTTTGACATTCTGATTGTAGTAATGAGTCAAAAATGTGCCCATCTTATGCTAGCAGTGTCATCTAGCCCACTGTATTTTCGTTCATTCATCTCTTCCTAGGGGGCGCGTCCCCCACTTTGGGAACCACTGCTCTAGAGGGTTTTATGCTTTGATAAAATCTTAAACTGATGATCCAATTCAATAGGTGTTTTCTGTTATGTGCGCTATATTACGTCGGTCGCAGGCGATTTCCCCAATTAAATATTTACAATCTACGTTTCCCCCATGCAGCTGCTTCACCTGCGGCTGGGGCAGAGCACATACTGGTTGCAGAATTGATTAAATAATATACACACGCAAAAATCCATTGAGCCGTACAAAAAAGTCTGGACGGGAAAGCCCTCTGAACAATTGTGGTTACATGTCATCTTTATTTTGACTAAGACATTAATATGAAAAGATTACAACTTTATTGTTATATTTATGCAGGAATATAGGTGTATTACTTAAAAATTATCTGACTTTATCCTCATATTTTAAATGTATTCTCAAAAGTGCCTTGACATTATTTGATAATAAATTCACAAAATTAATCTAAATTTTTTACTTTCAAAGTAAAAATATTCTTACTTTAATCGCATAGCATCTGCAGTCTGGCAAAAAATATATATATATTGGGTGAGCCCTATGATCTGTTTTAACTCTAGAACACCATTCAGGGTAAAAAACAAACAAACAAAAATTCTTACCTGAGACACTTCTGATTGTTAACCTGTTATGTACACCAGAATGCATGCGACCCACTATTTGACCATATTAATAGTGGGCTCATAATTAATGTTATTGCTTGTAGCCAGTATAACTCATTTTAACTATTTTTAGGAGGATTTCTTTCTTATCAAGATTCTTTATATTTCAGTTATTTACACTTTTCTTGTAAGTTGTCAACTTACAGAAAGAATCTTGGAATGGTTGTTCAGTTTATGTCACACGTTGATATCATAGTCAGTAACAATGTCATTGTATTGTATAAATTGTATAATGGTGCTTTTAAAATTAGAGGTATGCAAGAGTGGAAAATTGATAAATCTGTTGAATATTTGACAACTTTGGATGGAAACACATTCACACATTGTCAATTAATTGTACAAGTTGTTTCATGTGTGTATGACATGTACATATATGGAATTTATATATATATATATATATATATATATATTACATATTCAATTCTTTGATCTTTTTGAGACTAAACAGAATATAGTTACATAGGATTCAGATTCAAAACTGAGGAACTAGAGAACCATCTAAACTCAAAGGATCTTCGTATTTGAATGACAGCTGAATCTAGCCAATGGGCTGTCAAAACTGTCTCAAGTTTCTTTTGGATAAAATCCTGTTCTATAAGAGTAGTATTATGTGTATGTGTAGTAAGCATAATTTCTTAGTTGAGGTTATTTGAATATCTGTATAATATGCACAATATGATATATCTAGTATACAACAGTTTGGATGGCAAAATGAATAAATAAGTAAATTATAGTTATGTAAAATATGAAAATATGAAATGTCCAATACCAAAAATACAATCAAGTAGCAGCATTCAGCATTTTTTTAAACCATGTTATGGCATTTGAAGACATTTCTACAAGTCAGCTTATGAGATGAGAAACTATGCACAATAATGGTAGAATTAACAAAAGCTGAATAATATTGTATTGATTTAAAAATAGTACATATTGCAGCTTGTAAAACTAAAGTACAGGTCTCTGTGGCCAACAACTCACTATACTAAGTAAGAAGAATAGATAACCCTATTTGAAGGATTTTATGTAATTTGTCCCACACGTGTCTATATTCTTTGATAACCTTGAATTGTCTATCCGAGTTTAAAAGAATGAGTCTTGTGTTACTCTTGAAAAATAATTGTTGATTTTCACCTTTTTATCAACATAGTTGGTGTTTTTTTTCACATAACATCCTCTAAGTCCCTTATGATTAAACCATATACTTTGTGTAACTGTTATATTTTGTCTCCTCGTTTGAATTCAAGTCTGTTCATTTTCATGCCGTTTTCTAAAAGATTAAATCACCAACTGTAATACAAAAAAATAGTTAATGAACCAAGCATTTTGTCACCATATAGTTCTATGTGACAATATTGAATAATGATTACATCTATCCTTAACTGTATTGATAAAAAAATTGTTTGTCTATCCATTTTGCATATGTTACTATTTATTCCATTCATCACATCAGAAACAATTCCCTATGGAGATAAATTTATTATTTTAAAAATGTATATAAAAATCTAACAGTGGAAACAAACATGAACAGACATAATTGTATTAATAATGTTAAGAAAAGTTTTTTGCTAAAATACAAAAAGATAATAAAAAAATCATAAAGAGTAACACATGCAATTGAACACATTATATTCATTGAAGACTTGCAAAAATACTCACCCACATTGAGCCTAACATTAACCTCATGTCTCTGTGGTTTAAATAAGACACAGGTGTAAGTGCCATTGTCCTCCAGACGTGTGTTTTGGATTGTGATGGAGGCATTTCCAGACTCCAGTCTCTCTTTAAAGAACTCAACACGTCCTCTGAACTGTTGGCTTTGGTACTGTTCACTGCGCCCATGACCATAGTATGAGCCTTTGTCATAAAAGAACACCTCTTCCTTCTCTTCGCCTCCACTGTCTTTGCGCCAGTCAAACTGGTCAACACTGAGTCCAGAGCCCAGGGCACAAGGCAGGAGAGCATCTGCCCCTTCTGCCACTGGCACCACATCCACCAGCCCTGGGACATAATACACATAACCATTATGTTTTGGTCAATGATTTTGAGATTTGAGTATAGAGGCAGAACGGCAGCTTACAGTCTGGCAGTTTCTTCCAAACTGTATAATTCCGTATAGCACATATAAAGCCATGGCATTAAGGCATGTTCTCAAATTAAGCAAATAGACAACCATTGAATGAAGGAATAATGTTTTTTTCATCTTCTAAATATAGAAAAAATGTCTCTTACAAATGGATTTAGACTGTCTCCCACATTATTAGATGACATTGTATTTATTATGCAACTCTGCTGCACTAGACTATATAATTTCTCACCACTAGAGGCTGCTAAAGTCCACATAAAAAGAGACTGGACAAAGCATCTAACAGGCTTAAGTTATGAGCCACACATGGCCACACCCAATGACGTCAGCATGTTCTGTTTTAAGTGTTATGAATGTATCAACTGGACAAGAATTAAACTACTGGTGAAATCATCAATGGATGAAGGGATTATTAATTGTAAGTGTGATGTGTCATTATCATTTTTCTTCTTCTTTTTTAAATAAAATGTCGACTGAAAATCTTTATTCAATCAAAAATGATAACAGAAAGAGATTAGAAAAGTACTTTATAACAAAAAAGTGACTATATTTCTGTTTGTGTAGAATACATTTGATTATTTGGTGTGTAAACTTGTTTTATCTAGTGCTAGTAGTGCATTCAATAAATTGCAAATCAATAGCATCACAGGTTACTACCTACTGTAATGCTGACCCCAGAGAGGATGTCTAAACTGGCAGAAATGTGACCGTGCAGATCTACTATGAATCATACATACACACATTAGTCAATGAAAGTAGTGAATGTTCTTACTTTTATCCTGGGCAGACACTGGTCCAAAGGCCGGAGACAGGAGGCAGAACAGCGGCAGCAGCAGCTTCATGTCTGCTCCGGAGCAAGTGCACCAGCTCTGTGTGGCTCCACGCTTATGTCTGTATGAGGGAGATGAGATCAAGGAGAGTGTAGGAGAGATGAGGAAATAACCACATGTGAGATACTTTCAATTCCGCAGCAGCGCAGTCTGCCCTTCCGGTCTTTGTGCGCACTCTAATGCTCTGCACTTGTCCAGTTGGCTCTGCTCCAGCTCCACACACTTGACAAATACACGCGTGGTAAGGAAGGCAGGGACGAGATAATGGCAAGGCAAGATTATTTGTGTAGCACGTTTCAATTCAAGGCAGGATTATTTTGTATAGCCCAGTTCATACACAAGGCAACTCAATGCGCTTTGCAAACAAGAAAAAAAACATTAAAAATCATGCAAGGACATTCAAGTTATAAACATACAAAAACAGTCATAGCACGAGATCCTTTGTGGTTTCAAATTACTTGTAAACGTTTCAGATTAAAGAAAGCTCTTTGTTGCAGTTTGCACACTAGTTGCATCTTGTCTTTGAATGAGTCGTGGGAGTAATACACCATTCTGTTTATTGAATTACGTTTTTCGTAACATGTATTTTATCTCAGTGAAATCAGATCAAGAAAACATGAGTCACATCCTGTACACTTTTACTTTTATGGAAGTGTGGCACAGCTTTGACTTCCTCAAACTGAGCCTTTTTTTCATTCAAAATATACAAACAAACTTCCAGGCCAAAAAAAGTTGCTTTAAAGTGTTGTTCCACACGTTAATGGTAATCACATTACTACACTGTCTTGCGGACAGTAAATAGACAACATCAACATAATATGTCATATTACACTGTCGGTAAGGGGCCTTCCACTTTAATGCAACCATCTTTCTGAGCACTAAATAGTCATTTAAGAGAAGGACCTGCCAATAGACTACCAGCCCCCATCTTCCAGAACTGAGCGAGCACTGACAGTCCCAGACCATGTGGATGTGGGTCCCTTCAGAGCCACCACGGAACAAAGACCATCTTGGGTCTGGCTTCACTTCTTCAATTTAGGACAAATATTTGTTTAGGTTTGTATATTGAACTTTTAGAATCAATCATCTATTCTCGTTCTTGGCTCTAAAATAAAAGCTCTGTTTCAATGAAAGCGTAAGATGTGCACAAACTCACCCAGCTTCTGAAGAATAGCTGAAAATATTTCAGTGAATTGTCATCCGTTTCATTGGTTTCTTTGGCAAATATCCAACTCTACTCACCTCTTGACAGTTTATGGCTTGCAGAGAAGAACCAGATTATCCACAAACTGTAAATATTGTGTAATGATTTAATTATTGTATATTCTATGGACATGAGAGTGATAAATAATAGTAAGTCCCAACAAAAGCAAGTAAATGTAATTCCTGATCAGTTTGTAAACGTGGCACATTAAGGTCGGCAGCGACATATATAATGGACAAGTTGAAATAAAGTTCCAGTTCATGTCCGTAACAAAAGCAAAGCCATGTTGCATAAAGTCAAAACCAGTCACAGCTTGAGTTCATCATTGTCCAGTCATGTAGCGTACAGCTAGCTAGAATAAATAGATAAATAAATAAATAGATCCATAACTACAGTAAAGTCCATATCACAGCTTGTATCACAGCTTTGATCACAGCACAACATCGTCATCAAGTCCATGAGGTCTGTTGTCTAAAATGGCAGAGGCCTGACGTTCAGCTCGCGATGGTTATAATGTTTATTTCAGGAACTAAGTATATGTTAAAAGGCAAGGTTGATCTTAAACTTACCTGATAGTAGCTGCGTTTGGTCAGTGGACCAAAAAACGTATGGGTCACGGTGAAACATGAATCCGAACCGGAACATGGCGCTGAGCAGTGTAGCTAGCTGTTAGTTATTAGCTTCTTCTTCATCTTTTCCCTGCAGCGCTAGTTAGCTCATAAACTGTAAACAGCTAGTCTCACCGGAAAGGGCTTACCACGCAGAGCTGGGAAAAATGTTATTTTTTGTACCCCGAAAACAATACACCAATCCCCAAAATTCATGAAAACATTATAATAGGCCCATGTGTGACTCTTGGTACCTGGCATTTTAAAGAAGGGTGGCGCAGGCATAGACTGTATGGCGCAGGGAGCTGACGTCCAGTATGGATGGATCACGTAAGCATTACATCCACATGATTCTGCAAAACCCATGGATCTATTAAGGCAAAACCCCACAATGCTATATCAACAAATAGTATAAAAATAAATAAAATAAATACATTTTTTAACAACAAAAAATGAATTCTTGTTTTTGATCTATTTTGATAATACAATACGGCTAAACAAGGAACAGTATTTGATTTTAGCTGCCTTCAAAGTGTTGCACGGCTTAATAATGTTTGCACAACAAACATATTAAAAAAGGTATATAATTACAATATAGTAATTGTATGCTTTTTTTTTTTTTTTTTTACAAACACTTTCCAAACATTTTTGACATAAGCCAGCATTAGGCTACGGAGGCTTGTTAGGTTCACTTGTGAGCGTGTTTTTTTCCGCTGGTATCATGTTATTTCAAATAACATGATACCGCCGGGGGAAAAAACACGCTCATAAGTGAACTTAAGAAGCTTCTGTACCTTAGCAACCATTGTCATTATCAAAATGAAGACAAGCACACAGAGGAGAAAAAGCAAACTATGTCTACATTTAACAATAAATAGTATAAGTAAAGATTAAACAACAAGGAGCAGTGCAGTTGTAGAGTTTAAATTAACAATGCAGTCTAAACGGGTGTTGTTACCGCTTGTTGAAATCATACAACCACACTTAATTCAAGATCTTGCTGTATAATAGCCTTGTAAAACAACGTCATAATTGAAACTGTAAGTTAACTGTATGTGCACAATCTGTGTGTCTCAGGCTGAGTGATATGGAACCTGTCACTGTGCTGTTTAAACTGTATTAATCAATGCTAGTTTGTGTTGGGATTCTCACTAACATGCCATGTCTCTACAGCCTCATGTGTTGTTTGATAATAGTATACATCAATATAAATCAAATAAACACGTTAAACTATGGGGTGCCGATTGTAAAAATTCTGTTAAAATTTTTTAGCTGAAAATTTTTCTACATTTAGCTCACTTTCCTCACATTTAGCACATTTTCCTCACATTTAAGACAGACATTCATGTAAAACAACACGTTATATGTAGTTGTCAAATACATGTTAAATATTATATATATATGTTTATATCTAAATCTAAATGTGAAATGTTATATCTAAAATATTATATCTATATCTAAATGTTAAATGTTATATCTAAATATTATATCTATATCTAAATGTTAAATGTTATATCTAAATATTATATCTATATCTAAATGTTAAATGTTATATCTAAATGTTATATCTATATCTAAATGTTAAATGTTATATCTAAATGTTATATCTATATCTAAATGTTATATCTAAATGTTAAATCTAAATGTTATATCTATATCTAAATGTTATATCTAAATGTTATATCTATATCTAAATGTTATATCTAAATATTATATCTATATCTAAATGTTAAATGTTATATCTAAATATTATATCTATATCTAAATGTTATATCTATATCTAAATGTTATATCTATATCTAAATGTTAAATCTAAATGTTAAATCTAAATGTTATATATAAATGTGTCGCCAAGTGTAAAGCTAAATATATAGAAAATATTTAAATCCGCAAGGAAACCACGCCCACTGCAGTGGCTTCAAATCCAGTGGGGGGTCCGCCCCCTTTCCTGAAATGAGTTGCTCTAGTGGCAGGCCGTGGTATTGCAGCCTACGGCTCAAAAGCCCTTTTCGCCATAGACAACCATGTAAAAGGAGCAGCCTGTAAAATGGTCCACGGGGCGTCTGGAGTTTCAGATTAAGGCAAATATTTTTCTTTAAAATGACTATTTTTAGGACATGGACTTATTTTCTTCGTAAAAGAATTGTAAAGCATCAAAAATCATTTAAAAAAGTTTTTTTTTAACTGTTTAAAAAAAAAGTTGTTTTTTACACTTTAAAAAGGTTTTTCAAAAACTGGACTAAAAACAAGGATAAATGCTAACTAACAAACCCCTCAAGTAAGTTTGTTTCTGTCTTTAGCTGCATTTCATGTACTTTGTAAGTTTACTATGTTATTTGAGTGAGTGAGTACGTTATTTGAGTGAGTACGTAATCTTTATTTAGTAAGTAAGTGCTTTATTGTCATTGTACAAGTGCACAACGAAACAGTGTTCAGGTGTCAGTCCTGACACCTGAACACTGTTTCTGTATTTGTAGCACCTTTCACAGACAAGAGCCACAAAGTGCTTCACGACAGTTTAAAAATCAGAAAAATACACACAATAAAAGGGTGAAAATGTAAATCACTAATTTGTTTGACTCCTAATAATCAAACCCTGTTGACTTAACATGAAGCTCCTCAATCTCTGCAGGTCCAGCCTGAAGCCCAGAGGCTCCTCCTGATGTCCACACTTCTCTGTAGGGGATATTGGTGCCGCTTCCCAGCGTCGCATAGAAAATATAACATCGGATATAAGGAATATTGCACAAAAAGTCCTTATTACTGGCTGATGCTGATAGTGTTCACACAAGGTGGTTGTTCTTTTGTAGAGCCAGGCTTTTGCAAATAGACATGTCATTTTCCAACACATAACTAATTATTGTGACTTTCCATAAGTGGAGATTTGTTAAGATTCCAAACCACACTATGATTGTGACAAATGAAATTTATTCCTAGGATTTGTGTGTGTATACGTATATATTTATTTATTTTTTAATGCAAAGCAATCATTCATTAATCTTTTTTTATTTGAGCAGCTGAGTATTCAGCTGATAACGTTACGTGACAAAACAAATGTAGGTATGACGCCCAAAAATGATAACCTTAATTTCTATTTTACTTCATGGGATTAGTGTTGCCAAATAAAAGTAAATTTTTTAAGATTTTTGTATTGAATAGCTTCATAACTACATAAAGGGTTTGTAAACTAAAAAAAAAAA